TATATATATATATATATATATATATATATATATATATATATATATATATATATATATTAACTATCATACATTAACTTTTCATAATAAATAAAAATAAAAAATTATTAAATATTTTTCTAAAATAAAAATAAAAACGTTTCCAGCTAATACCGTGTTGATTATTCAGTATTTGGATCATTGTAAGCACAAAGATCTTCCTTTTCGACGAGCAACGTCAAAAATTGTATTTTCAGACGAGCTCTGTCGCGGTATGGCAGCCTTCGCATGCCTTTTCTCAACCGTGCTAAAAATCCATCTAGCGGATCAGTAACCTGCGCTGTTGGTTCTTTCAATGCTTCTATTAAGGCTTATTGCAAAGCATCGTTCTTTTGCTCTAAAATATAATATATACTTTCATATATCAACCGAATTACATTATTACATTAATTGTATCTTTACAAATCGCAAATATCATACATATATTATGCATAAATCATAACATTATAGTTTTTAATTATTTATAATGTTTCTGCAATGTTGTTTTAACATTTCCGATGAAATGTTACAATTCCATGTCTATGCTATGTTTCTATAATGTATTACGTTGAAATTTGAAGTAATGTAACGTTCCTGCAACGTAACCGCAAGCTTCTGTGCTGTATGAGAAAGCTTTTATATGCAAAAATGCAAGCAACACGAACACTCTATTGATATACAAATGTAACCTTAAAAAATTTTGTATCGACATACCCTGAGTACCCAGACAGCACAAGAACTTCTGAGAACGTTCCAGGGATATTCTGAGGATATTGGGACGTTCTCAGAACGTACTTAGGACGTTCCCTGGATATCTGTGCTGTTAGGATAGTGAATCAGATATGACGGATCAGATATAACGCTATTACAACATTATATAATAAACTCGATATAAAGCTATTTCTTAACTTACTCTGATTTGATTATCCATTTCTTATTATTGCTTTGCAAAACTTTTTATATGTGACAATATCCATTTTATCACACCTTTTAGTTCAAACGACACTAAAAGATATGCTTACTAATCAGCAAAAAATTGGATTTGGCGTAACAAAAATAGCGTAAAGAGCACAAGATAACTAGGCGGAAACTGGTACTTAAAGAGATGATGTGATTGGTTGGCACAAGTTACGCTTACGCAAGTTACACCGCATGGGAAGGCATCCTAATGGATCCTGCACACAGGACGCGGTAATGTTTACCGCGCGGCAAAAGTCCGCGCGACAGCCAATCAATATGTTGTTTTTCCATAAGAGCTAGAAGGTTATTACGGAAAGCAGCATATTGATTGGCTATCGCGAGAACTTCCGCCGCGCGGCAAGCATTACCGCGTCCTGTGTGCAGGAGCCATAAGTACCCATGGAGCGGAATGAGCGTAAGCGGGATGAGTAGCACATAACTAATAGCGAATTCGGTAGCTTGCACTAGTGCGCACTGAGTGCGCATTAAGGCTTGTTTACAGTACATTCTTATATTTAAGATCGTGTCTTAAATATATATTTAAAAACATTTTAACTAATAAAATGATTCGTACGGATGTTATACATATCATATTATGGTTAAAAATATTTGAGAATTTATTTGAGAATTATTTAAGACAATCTTTAAATATAATAACATACTATGAATAAGCCTTAGTGCGCACTCAGTGCACACTAGTGCAAGCAACCGAATTCGCTATAAAATGACTTTTAAATTAATGTTTTATTACTCATTTTTATTATTATGTATATAAATATTTAATTAAATGTGTTTTGTATTGGAAATATTGACTGAAAATGTTAAAATCTATAAAATAAGTTTTAAAACGGATGTAACTTTTTTAAATAATGATTCGCGATTGGTTGAGCAAAATCCGCGATGTGCTTATTCCGCTCCATGGGGACTTAAAGGTACCTTTACATAGGAGCATCGAGCGTTAAAGCGGTAGCCAATCAACGTGCCACTTTCCGCAAGAACTACAAGTATACTTCTGGGACTTGATACGTTGATTGGCTAACGCTTTAATGCTCGACGCTGGAACGCTCCGATGTATTGGCACCTTAAGAGCTCCTACTTTCAATGCTAAAAATTTTTACATATATATTGCTCATCCATTGTTAAATTCATGGCATAACAGTTATGAGGAGCGGTGCACTTGGACACGGTGCATTTGGACACAGCCAATCACAGCACCGTGTGATTAGAGACATTTGTAGGGTCCCTTGGAACAGCGACTTGTGATTAGACTGTGTCCAATTGCCCCGTGTCCAACTGATATACACCCATTTATATTTTGTACAATAACAAACCGACACTTCTGACAATGCTCGTCGTACGACGCATGTAATATCAGTCTTAAGCTGATACAATTCCAAAAACTGAGTAATATTTATTTGGTCATTGGTCAGGATCTAGGTGGAACGAAACAGTCGGCAATAATAACCCCTGTTTCCTGCTTTTTCTATTAGGAAACAGTACTAGGGATTTTTTAGCTACTTTTGAGCTACCTTGGGAGTAAGAAATTGGCGAATTAAAATTTAAAGCATCTGACACCCTTAGGGGTGCATCCAGATTCCCTACCCGGGTGCACTCTAATACTAGAAGTGTTGTAGTATATGTGACATATACTATAGTATTTCTAGTAATAGAGTGCACCCGGATGAGGAATTTGAACGCAGCCTAGGATGAGTTCAGATTCCCTACTCGGGTACACTCTATTACTAGAAACACTATAGTATATGTTACATATACTACAGCACTTCTAGTATTAGAAAGCACCCGGATAAAGAATCTGAATGCAACCTACCTGAAACGCACGCTACCTCTTGGGGTGCGTTCAGATTCCTCATTCGGGTGTACTCTATTACTAGAAACATTATGGGTGTTTACGATAAGTTGTCGGATTTGAAATCTGACTGAACAGTGGTACTCAATCGACCCATTTCAAAAAATTCCCTAGCTTAATCAGATTTTAGTAAAAGCTGTCTCAGCAGTAATCGGATTAGCTTCATAACGACATGAGGTGATACTTTATCCTCAAGAGAAATAAAAAGATAAAAGTCGGTAGGTACGTAATTATTATTCTAATGATTAGCGCGTATCATTTTCCTTATATATCAATATATGAATAAATGATACACTTTTACTGATATTAAATTAATGAAAAGAAGTATTAGTAATCTCACGTGTAGTAAACATTAACCTATAATAATATTGGATTTATGTTACAATTTCATATGTAACAAGATAAGAATAGTATAAAATCTGTCAAATTAACATTTCAAACATACTAATTTTAAAATATATTAAGAACATTTATGCATTTATATATAGATATATCAATATGTGTGCTTGTATATGTGTATGTTCATATGTGTAATCTATAATTATTTACACACATATTTTTATATAAAAAGAATATTTATATTTTTATAGATTGTGTGTATATATATATATATATATATATATATATATATATATATATATATATATATATATATATATATATATATATA